ACAAGAGCTACTGTGCATCTGCTGAAGGCTGACCTGTGTCACCCTAACACAACGTACAGCTCCAGGTGGCTCCCTTGGTCACATACCAAGAAGCCAGTCAAAGAGTAAGGAGGAAGCATTTCCAGTCCAGACTCTACTTTTGATCCTTAAAACAAGATTCTGAAGGACCCCATTCATGGCCCACAGAAGCATGTCTCCCTTCCGGGGCCCCCTCCACCAGTGTGGGGATTCCCCAGCCGTCCCCAGTGTCCTGTTGCCATCCGTCCCGACCACAGAACCCCGTAGTCGCGACGCTGTTTCCTCCTCATCTGTCCTGTCTCTGCTCTTCTCAGCCCTTTTCCTGGTTCCACACAACAGCGATCCAGAGACCAGCTTGGCCAAAACTAAGTCAGGATGGGGTCGCGTTAGGACGGGGAAGAGACGGGTCACGTCCAGGGTCGTGTGGTGACACAGCTGAGCTCCCGCTCTTGAGAACTAGGTTGCCTACCATGGAGAAGAACCTCAGTAGCCAGAACTTCTGGAAGATCCTCCTGAAACTCTTGTCCACAAAGATCCCTCTGACATCCTAACGGGGGTGACTTAAACTGAAGCATTTCCCAGAGGCAGACATTGGGCTGTTTCTCGCTGGACTGGCACATGGGGCTCCTGACCTTGAAAGGCTCGCCTCTCCCAGGGTCTCTCCAATCGCTGCGACCGTCAGCAGCGTGAGCTGCGTGAGCCGGGCTTGAAAAGAAGAAGGGGTACAGACAGAAGGGGCATGTGCCTCTGCCCAGAGTCCTGCTGCAGGAGGTTGAAGGCCAGCAGAGAAGGTCTCCCAAGAGAAAGAGGGACTCTTGTGAATGTGGGAGAGCTCACTGATGGGAGGCAGGTGTGAATCTGGCCACCGTTCTTGTATGTAGGACCTCATTTATTCTCAAAAGAATTAAATTCAACTCTGAAAATGTGCCCCCCTCCAGTGCACATGTGTGTGTGAGTGTGTGTGTGTGTGGGCGCGTGTGCACGTGCATTCACACACACACACACACACACACACACACACACACACACACACACATACTTCTTATTGGGGTAGCCAAGAAAAATAACCCAACCTTTATTGTCTTCTTGGAGCCTCTTTCTCTTCCCATTTCACGTAAGAATCCTGGCCATCTACGACAAAACCCTAGAGAGGAGCCTGTAGTCTTGAGACCATCTCCTGCCATGTCCCCCTGGTCCTGAAGCGGGGTAGCTCCATTCCTTCTGCAAGCTTGGCCACAGGGAGCCGAGCTAGGGTACCCCATAGAGCCCAGCACCTTTAGGGTGTGCAGAGACCTCTGGCCTCTCCAGATGGCTCTCCCTGACCTCTCCCTGCCCCCCCCCCAAGTCCTTCTTATTTTAGATAATCTCCCTCTTTTGTCACCATGGTCAAGGCTGGACATCAGAGCCCCAGTGCCCAGAGTGGCCAGGTAGCAGATGAAGGAAGGAGCGTTCCACGTGGACAGCGGGAGCCCAGGCCCCGGTGGGCAGCCCCGTCCACTCCCGCAACTCTCACTGCAGGCTAAGGCGGCTGGATGCTTCCATTTTTCAAAAGAAGCAAAAGATTCAAAGTTTTATGTGAATCCTCCCACTTTTTCAATGTTAGCAACTCATCCAATTTAAAAAACGAAAAATATCATGTGGGCCAACTCTGTATTTGCCAAACAAAACATCTCTGGTGGTGCATGCAGCCCAGGCCCTTCAGCTTGGGGACTGTCCTCTGACACCTGGTCCTTTACATCTTGGTCTTTCTGCCCTCATGCCACTAATGTGCCTGCCTGCCTGGGGGCAGGGGTTGGTAAATAACCATCAAGGCAAAGGTGAGGCCTAAATTAACTGCTCAGCAGGGGGGCTGCCCCCACGGGCTCAACCAAGCAGCAGTACCCAGCACCTTATGTGCTTGGTGGCTCAAAGATCTCAGAGTTGCTGTCCTGCCCTCTGACCTTAGAGTCCCACAGGCAAGAAGTGTCAATCAAAATGACACCTGGTAACCACGCAGGGAAGAGGCACAGGAGCTGCTATACAGACGAACCGAGGGAGATTTAGTTCTGGGGGTCAGGAGAGGGGCTGGGGTTGAGAGTGAGCAAGAATCAGAGGCTGCAAACAGTGTCTGAAAACAGGACAGGCAGGTCACATGCGAAAACCACAAAATACGTTGGTCAAGTCTGCAGGAGGCCAGAGGGGGCTGGGCGGCAGAGAGGGGGCGGGAGGTGGCAGAAGGGCCAGCTGGGCAGGCCTTGAAGCCTCCTTCAGGACCGTGACCTTCATCCTGGGCTCTGCAGATAGGAGGCCGGGCTGTGGGAGACGGCTGAGTGGGCAAACGGGGACATTCAGGAGGCAGGTGACGAAGAGGCACCAGGTAGCTCTGCCGAGGTGGTGAGAAGATGGGGGGAGGGGGCAGGTTGAACCGCACTTGAGAACCTCCTGGAGGGCCTGGAGGAGGGGGGAGACCCTGGTGATGACCGTATTAACCCCTAGATGAACATGTCCCAAAGGGACGGAGGAACAGACCCAGGGGACGAGGAATCGATGATAATACCTGGGAGTGCCGCCCTGGAGAGGGAGGAACTAAAGCAAACTCTAGGGGAGCTGCGAGTCGGAGCAAAGCAGGAAAGGGGGTGACGGAGACATGTCACATGGGCCAGGACCTTGGGTGAGGTGGGAGCCCCAGAGGCTTTCAGGAGGCCTGGCCCGACTCAGGGCCGACCGCAGCCGTTGCACATGCTGGGCCGAGAAGGGGGGCGGGGCGGGGACAGTGGCGCTGGGCGAGAACCAGAGCAGCCACACAAGGGCAGGTTAGGCCACTGCCGCCTGCGGGCAGGAGCTGGGTGGCTTGAGCCCTGTGCTGCAGGGAGGTGGTGGCTCCAGATTCGGGGCACATTCTGGAAGCGGAGCTGACAGGATTTGCTGGCTGCTGGGAAGGAGCGGGTGTGGACTGGGGAGGAGTCAGGGTGACGGAGTCTCGCTGCCCCTGCAGCTGCTCTTCCCTGGGAGGGAGAGGCCAGGGTGGGGGCGCCAGGAGCTCATCTGAGCACATGTGACATGTGAGATGCCCCGAGGGAAGATGTCCAGTGGGGAAGATGGAAATGAGCGTGGCAAGAGGCACTCATGGGGGTCCACTGGTCTTGCAGGGCGGGGATAGGCCTGGCCTGTGAATAAGGAAAGATGGGCGCGAGGCACCATCTGATCTCCTTCTGGAAGGTCGCACAGCCACAAGGGGAAGAAAGGCCAGCTGCAGGAAGACCCTGGGGAGGGCGAGTCAGGGAGGTGGGGCCAGGAGTCGGGTGGACCCATTGGAGAAAAGGGACAGATGGGGACAAGACTTGCTGGTGGTGGGATGTGAGCGGCGGGAATGCGTGGGGGGCCATCTACTGAGATGGCACAGGGAAACCGAAACGTCCAGCAGGTAAAGGAACCCTGTCGGTAAGGCCAAGTGGGGACAAGGTGGGGACAGCGGGAGGAGAGAGGCTGGGAGTTCAAGGCAGAGAGAAGCTCATGTTCCCAGGGTAGACATGCTTGGGACTCTCTGAAGAGGGTGGCGCTGGCCTGGGCGACCTGAGGGTCAGGCAGCGGGGCCAGCTGGAGGTGCAGCAGGAGCTCAGTCACGTCAGGGACAGCAGCAGGTGTCGAGGACCCACCAGGCTGATGGAGTCCAGCTTATTCATTTCACTGATGAAGAGTCAGCAGGGGTAGACTTGTCACACAGCCTGTCTGTGGCCAGACTCTGGGCCTCTGGGACACTCGCCACGGGATGATGGGATCCTTTCATAAAGGGCTGAACTTAACACTGGGGGAAGGACAATGGCGTCGTTTCTCAGGTTGTAACCCAGCGTTTCCGGTGGCAGAGCTGGGGGATGCTGTTGACCAGCACCTGCCTGCTCCATGGCTGGAATGCAGAGGTTTGGGCATAAGGGCCCTTGGTGCTTGCTTCAGTAGACCTTAGTTCTTCCTAAGATCTTAGTTCTTCCTCAGGGTCATTCACTGATGCAACAGTATTTTTTAAATCTCTGTTTTGTGCCTGACATGCCTAAGGGATTAGAGTGGGAAGCTATGGCCGAGTTCCTGCCTGTGTTCATGGAACTTACACACACACACACACACACACACACACACACACACACACACACACACAGTACAAACTGTGCTAAGCATTGTGAAGAAAACATGTGGGGAGTCAGGAGAGTGTAACGAGAGGCTTAACACCCTGAGGAAGACACTGGCATGGTAACTCAGTGAAAGATGAGTGGATAGAGTGGTCCAGGCTAAAGGAACATCATATGCAAAGGTCCAGGGGCAGGAAAGCAAGTTGAGATAATTAAAGATCCCCAAAAAAAAGAAACCTGGAGTTGAAGTCATCAGATTTGCATTTTAAAAGACCCCTCTGTCTATAGTGCAAGCAGTGAAGTGAGAATAGATTAGAGGGATTGAGGATGGACCTCTGAGGAGGCCACTACTGCTATCCAGGTGAGAGAAGGAGGTAGCCTAGACTAGGTGAGGACAGAGGGAAAGAAGTAGAAGGTTTTAAGAGGGTCATCAAGAGGCCTGACACACTAAGTAAATGTTGGAATCCATCAGAGTTTCACAAGCTATGTCAGGTCATTGTCTTATTGATGGGATGCGGTATGGCCAGCCCACGGGGAACAAAAACTGCCGGGAGTCGCTGTGAGCTGACGGCAACCAGATGATTTGACTGTCCCCTGCCATCAGACCACCACACCACCACAGGAAGGAAATGTGAAATAGGGGTCCCCACCCATGGTAAGCAAGCTCCACTCAGCCACCCATTCTCTCCTTATTCACCATCACATGAGAAACCTCATCCCATGGGAGAGACGGTGGGAGGGAGCATCAGAGGCTGTGTCTGGGAAGGGTGGGGCAGCCGACACGGACCCCCAGCGGAATCAAGAGCACCCATCTAGAAAATCCAGGTGCTGGGTGGTGTGGCTGGAGCTCCCAGGAGCCGGTGGGAGATTCAAAGGCGGCCATTATCCCAGGTCTGGGTTTTACTGTTATTTGTATAAAAGAGGCGAGTGTCTGCTCAACTTGACAGACTAAAATAGGCTTCTTAGATGTTCAGGGATTTTAAAAACAAACAGAGCTTGATTGCAGATCAATTTTTTGTGCAGCTCTCGATAAAACCGGGCTGAGAATCTGCTGGCGGTGGCAGTGATTGCATTCTCATCTCACACCAACTCTGGCTCCGCGGGGCAATCGAGAGGCCGGCCTTTCTCCTCTGTGCGGGGCTGCATTTTAATTCCAGCACCCAGTGTTTCCAGAACGCCAGATCAGTGTCATTATTTCAAACCTGGGCTGAAAAACAGGCATGTTAAAGGAAAGAGGCTAAGTCTCATCCAATGGTGGTCCAGCAGACCCGGAAGATAGGCGTTTCCCTACAGAACTGGGGAAAGTAGATAGTAAGAGAAAACAAAACTGAAAAATAAAAGAAATGTGTAACCACAGAAGATAGTTCCCAAATGTCGGATTCTACTAATCACTTTTTAATAAAATCTGTCCTTTTTTTTTTTTTTTTTTAGCAGCAAAGTACTGGGGATTGAACTCAGGGGCACTCGACCACTGAGCCACATCCCCAGCCCTATTTTGTATAGACAGGGTCCCACTGAGTTGCTTATCGCCTCACTTTTGCTGAGACTGGCTTTGAACTCACAATCCTCCTGTCTCAGCCTCCCAAGCTGCTGAGATTACAGGCGTGTGCCACCGTGTCCGGCTCTAGTAATCATTTTGCACAAATTTTTACAAAATTAAGCTAAGCCAAGATTTTTGGTGGCCCTTTAGGTAGAGGAGTTCAAATATCCTTTTAACTTAGACCTACCTTCCTTTGTTTCTGCTTTGAATTTTGATTTTTGACCTCAAGTTGCTAATTTTTTGTATAAATTAATAGATAGGTTCTAGCCAAACACATCGAGTCTGTGTAGGAAATTTCATACTGAAATATGCATTTGGGCTTTTGAGGCTGGGTTGTACATGGCTGTCGTTATAATGTTTCTTTTCACATTTGTTTGTGGGAATCAGAGTGGAATGAAGGCGAGGGCGGAGAGTAAAAGAAAAAACCTTCAGGAGATCCCTGTATCTCTGGAGATACAATGTCTCCAGAAAGTGATTTAACATCCATAAATGCCAACTTACAGGATGTCATCCATTACCATCCAGGAAGAAAACATATTCTCCCTCTTTCCTGCCCAATGAGTAAACTTTGAACACAATTACAAACACATGCAATAATAATACATCCACCTGCATTTCTATCGCAACTTGCACTAGAAGATTTCTCAGTTGCTTTGCAAACAATAATTAATTAGACCCCTTGACATCCTTGAGAGGGAGCTGAGATGTGGGTGACACCAACTTGCTGTCACCTCTGGGGTTGTTGAACAGCTGTTGTTTAAAGACTGCGCAGCACACAGAATTCGAAATTCTAGAACATGATTGAAAGACTTAGGATTCTGAGAGGCAACAGAAGACTGTACGTGGGGCAGGCTTCTGTCTCAGCATGTAAATGTGATAGGGGGAGAAGAGGGAGCTTCTATTTTCTATGTCGCCGGCCATCGCTCACCCCCTCGGGCTCAATTTACCTTGTGACATGACATAATTCTTCTGGGCTCATCATCCTGGAGCTGACCCCATTACCAAGTGATTTTTCCTTAAGGAATGTAACCAAATTTTTTTAGATATTTACTTATAGGTGGACACATATCTTTTTTGTTTTATTTTATTTTATGCAGTGCTGAGGATCAAACCCAGGGCCTCATGAATGCTAGGCGAGCACTCTACCTCTGAGCCACAATCCCAGCCCCATGTAACCAAATTTTTTAACAAACACACAAATATATAGGACCTATTGTTTCCAGGCACCATTAAAGTGCTTAGTAACTTGTAACTCATTTGATGCCCTTAGCGACTCTTTTCGGAATGGTATTGTTATTATTGTTGCCTATTATAGTTATTATTATTGTCTATTATTATTATTATTATTATTATTATTATTATTTCCCTTTCACAGGTGAGGAAAGTGAGGCCTAGATGTGTTAAAGTCACTCGGCTACACTACCTCCCCGGGTTCCATTACTGTTAATAAATTTGAAAGCTTGAAAATTGGTACCTGGCCTCCACTTGGCCACGCAGGTTGTTTCCCTTTTCATCCTGCTAGAATGCTAACCTGGTTACCAGGAGCAGAAAGCCAGGGCCAGGAGCCAATCTGAAAAGATAGGGGGTTGGGAGAGCGCCATCTGCTTCAGCACCCTGGACAGCACCCTTAGCCGACTGGCCCAGCCCCAGGGCGGCCCTAAAGGTCCCAACCAGGATCCATCTGACCTGGAGGGAGGCTGCGGACAAGGGGAGCTGGCCTGGAAGGGACTGTTCCCACTCCTTCCTTTTACTAAGGCTTGCCCGTGTGACTGCGCGATTTTCAGGCCCACTTAGGCCAGGACAGCTCCAGCTTTCCCACTGTACTTTCCCACGCCATCGGGATGCCATGGGCCTACAATCTGACCAGCTTCGTACTGTGTGCTCAGTGCCCCACTGGATAGGGATGGGCCTCTCGCTCATTATTTTTCCCCAGGTCCCTGGCAGGAGACTGTCTTCCAGGACAATTAGGCTTTCACCCAGGGACCATGAGGGCACTTTCTGGGTTCGCCCTGCAACAGTCCTAGAGAACATGCCACGGAGCACAGGCTCTGAGATCAGACCACCAACAATCCCTCCAGCTCAGCCACTGTACGGATGTGACCTTGAGCAAGGCGCTTAACCTTTGAAAGACCTAGTTTATTTCTGTGTATAAAATAGGGCCACCAATGGTAACTGAACCATGAGATTGCTTTGAGGCTTAAATAAGGTAATATGAGTGGATAGCACAACTAATCCTGATAAAAATCAGGGGAGGCAGTGATGTTACCTTATGAACAGGAAGACTCGTGCTCCTGCCCTTCCTGCCCCTCTGCTTTGACCATCAGCAAGCTTTGGGCCAAAGCTCAACTTGGCATTAGCGACCCCTTGGGGTCTGCGCTGCGGCCTGCCCCCCCAAGTGCCTGCCTTCTCCTGTGGCCCAGCCTTCTCTCCTGATGGCTGATCCTTTGATCCTGACTCTTGTGACTTTTGTTGCCTGTGTCATTTCAGGTCACTGCCTGAGATGGAGAGACAGATGCAAAGCATTAGAATCTAGTCCCAAGTCAGGAAAAGTTCTGTCTGTCTTCTTTGTTGCTGTCCCCAAACGACTAGGGCAGCACAAGGCATGTGAGAAAGGGGCATGGGAAGTATTTATTGTAAAGTCTAAAAGTTGAGGAGGAGGAAGATAGGTGGCAGAAAGACAGGTTTGCCGATAGAGGAGAGAGAAATAAGGAAGAGAACAAGGATAGAAGACAGGGGGAAGGAAGGAAGGGAGGAAAGGGAAGAAGGAGAGGGAGGGAGACCTCTCTGGCCAGTTCTTTCTGAGTTCTGACCACACTCCCGTCTCACAGCTCACTTTGCAAAGGTCGCCCTGGACACCCCATCTCCCTTCTGACAGCTGCCCATCAATGATGCTCAGAAGAATCCCTTTCCTTGGACTCGCTCGACGCTCTCACCCAGTACCTTGGGGCAGGTGCCCAGCAAGCTGGCCACCCCTCTCCACTCATCACCATGACAGTGCGACCCTTTCTGGCAGGAGGGTGGCAGTGGCAGTTTCTGAGCCGGGTGCTCGAGGGCAGTCTGTCTTGGCCCTGTTCTCGGAGGACAGGAGCTGAGGCGTCGGGGGAGGCTGGCAGGAGCCTCTCCGGTTTTCAGGATAAGCCATCTCGAGCTCCCAGCTGGGCCCACCCTTCCCTACAGATTTCACAGGGTTTCACCATGTGGTGGGAAGAGAGTAGCACGGCTAGTGGGAGCCAGGCGTGGCCCTGTGACTCAGAGCCAGCGTGGGGGCGGAGCTGCGCCACATCCACAAGGAGGTTCCCCGGGAGGGCTGGAGCCTTCCCTGTGACACAGCCAAAGGCGCGGACGCTGCTGGGTATCAGTGACAAATTATTAGGCAACATGACTGCCCTGGTGGGGGGCGGAGACAGCTGGGCAGAGACTGGCCACTCCCCATACAGAACCTGGCCGTGACCGCGGCTCCCAGCCCTCTCCAGCTGACTTCAGCTCCAACGGCTCCTGGTTGGAGTGTGCTGTGTGCTGAGGAAGAGAGGCCTGGGAAAGGTGCCCCCACGTGCCCCCTGGGTCCCCACCGGTCAGTCTGTCAGCCCCGCCGGAGTCAGAGTCAGCCTCCTGGGGATTTCTGGAAGGAGTCCCGTCTCCCTCCTCTCTCTCCCAGCAGGGGTGGCACAAACAGCAATTGCAAGCAGCCAGAGCGGGCCTCCTCCCCCTGCAGGAGACCTTGCAGCTCTGGTCTGTCATGAGAACCCCCGCATCTGAAGTCTCCCTGGGAATAAACACACATTTCTGATACCTCTCAAGATTAAGCCAATGAAATAAAAATTCATTTTTGAGACATAAACCATACATGGCTGGAATTTTCCAGGGAAGCTTGGCACTTCGGTGGTGGCACAGAGGCCCTTGGGTTGACAGTAATTTGCTACAGTGAGCCAGGCAGACGTGAGCCACTCAATAGACAAGACATCATCAAACGCCACACCTGAGTTCTGTTCATAGCGTTAGAATGAAAGGGTAAAGCAATCCCACCGCCTGGAGGATCGGGGACCCAGGCACACACAGAACGGGCCAGAGGCAAAGCTGCTCAGGAGCGGTTGGTCGACCAGCTGGCTCCTCCCTTCTACAGGAAACCCAGTGAACTAAATCAACCTGTCGCCCCTCCCACGGGGGTGTGCTTTTCAAAGTATTGACAACGAGGGACTTAAAACACAATTATAGAACACCCATCCCCGAAGCAGGCACGTTTCACCAGCATTGTTAATCCCGACGGCACACTGTGTGTGTGCATTCATTTGGAAAATATTTGTGACTGTCTACCCTGAGCCCAGCACAGTTCTAGGTACTAGAAATCAGCAGATTCGAAGAGACACAGACCCTCCGGCCTGAGCTCTACAGACAGAGGAGAGAAGGAGGCATCCGCAAACGCATACATGTTTGTCAGGTGATGAGTGCTCTGCAGAAAAATAAACCAGGGCGAGGGGACGGAGAGTGACAGGAAGGGGACACCATACAAGACAAGGTGGCCAGGTAGGGCGTCTCACAGCAGATCATGGTTGAGCAGCATCCCCAAGGAAATGAGTGAGCAAGCCATCATGCTATCTGGGGAGAGCATTTCTGGTGGAGGGAATGGCCGTGCAAAGGCCCTGAGAGCACCCGGTTGTATCAAGGAGGTG